TGATCGGATGATTCTTATTAAATGTTAATTCAAATTAATATATCGTGTATCTCGATTTTAAAAATAGTTGGATGCATGTATCTCGTCATTAATGACTCAAGCCGATGAAGAAGTTGATCCAAATTAATAAATCGTATGTCTCGGCTTGGATACATGTAACTCGTCATTAATGATTCAAGCCGATGAAGAAGTTAATTTAAATTAATAAATCATGTATCTCGACTTTAAAATGATGGATACATGTATTTCGCATTAATGATTCAAGCTGATGAAGAAGATGAAGAGTACAATAACAAAATTAATTGTGCTTATGATTTTGTTATTTTAAGAAAACCTGTTAGAGTTGATACTCAGGATCTGTAAATCTGTTGGGTTGTTAATTCGTCAGCAATTAATCCTTTAATTAAGTAAATAAGTTACACCCCCTTTAATTCAAATTAATAAATGGTATATCTCAGCTTTAAAAGTTGTTGGATACATGTATCTCGTCATTAATGATACATGTATCTCGAGGCCAAAATATGATATAAAAAGTAATATTACAAACTATCGGAAATCCTATTAATTAGGATCTAAAGTAGTGAGATTTATGTAAGATTTCCAATAAATTACAACACATACCCCCCTCCCCTTTTAGTTTTGGCTAAATTTCCCTTCAAACCCCTTTAAATCTAGGCCCAAGTTCTCCCCACCCTTTAAAATTTAGGCCCAACTCGCCCCAATCAAAGACTTTTGTCATATTATTAATTATTTCTATTTTTTCTCATTTATTTTTTGGAAAAGGGCCAAAAATATCCTTATTCTTTGAGAAATGATCCATAAATACCCTCCTTCCATCTTTGAGTCTAAAAATACTTCTAATGTTTATTTTTTGGTTCAAACCTACCCCTCAAACTAACAGAATTAAGGTCAAGTTTTGACTCTTTTAAAAGAGTTACATGACATTTTCTAATTGGTCCACAAATTTTAATTACAAAATAAAAACCACCCGTCCAATTTTTAGAACCCAACCCACTTCAAAGGTCAAAGAATTCTTGGGTTCTCTCGGGAAAACTATGGGAAATTAAGAAATGAGAAATGCAGGACAGGGGAGGGAAACAAATGGATATTATTAATAAGAATTTTGAATAAACTATGAAGTCATTTCTTTATCGTATACTTCAAATATTTTTCTTATAAATGCAAGAAAAAAAAAAGGCCCAGCCCACTGACCCTTTTTAAGGTAAATAGAACTCTTCCCTGAAAGTTCTGCATCTCTTTTTAGTTTGAGTATTTTGAAAAGATGAAAGCTAAAAAGGTGTGTTTGGTACGAAAGAACTGGAAAACAAGTAGATTTTTGACTTATTTTCTCATGTTTGGTTGGTGAATAGAAAATATTTTTCGGAAAAGATTTGAGTGTTTTATTTATGAATGAAAAATGTTTTTGAGAAATATCTTTTATTTTTACTGAGTAGTAAATAATTTTTGAAATTTAAAATATTTTTAAAAAATAAACTTAAATTTTTTTTTGGGGGTGGGGGGTCGAGGGTGGAGGTGAAAAGATAAAAAATTGAAGTTGAGAATATTTTTTAAAAACAAACTTAAATTTTTTTTTGGGGTGTGGGGGGGGGGGGGGGGTCGAGAGTAGGGGTAAAAAAATGAAATTTTAAAGTTGAAAATAGTTTTTAAAAACAAACTCAATTTTTTTTTGGGAGGGGGTGGTCGAGGACCGGATGAAAAAATAAAATTTTGAAGTTGAAAATAATTTTTAAAGGTCGAGGACCGGGTGAAAAAAATAAAATTTTGAAGTTAAAAATATTTTTTAAAAACAAACTTAAAGTTTTTTGGGGGTGGGGGGTTAAATGTTTTCTTAAAGTTTTGAAGGAAAGTCATTTTCCTTAAATTTGAGAAAAATGAGTTGATTTGGACAATATTTTCCAAAACATTTAACCCAATCAAACATGAGAAAATTGAAAAAAAAATTCGAAAAATGTTTTCCTTTATACCAAACACACCCAAAAGGGATAGGCTTTAGACAATTCGATTGAACTCTTTTGCTAGTTACTACGTTCATGAAAGCAATTATGTAAATAATTATATTTTGATGTTTTAGTTATTATAATGTTCTGCAAGAAATAAAAAATGACTAATTTTGATGATTTAATTCTGCCAAATGTTGTGGCAATGACTATTCTTTTATGGTGATTTTGAGTTATTAACGACAATAAATTACTTTAGTTTGTTGGTTAAGTAGTAATTGGATTCAACAATTGTGAAATGTCAATATCAATGTCTTCACATTTCAGCAACTTAGTGTTCCATAGTTCAGTATTTCTCATGTATTTTATTAATGCGTAAATAGATAAAAGGAAGAAGAAAAGAGTCAAAGAGATGCAGAACCCGTTTGGTTCCTTAAAATGGGTCAGTAGGTTGAGTCTTAAAATTTGGGTGGTGGGTTTTTATATAGTAATTATTTTGAAATTAAATTTGTGGACCAATCAGAAAATGTCACGTGTCTCTTTTTAAAATAGTCAAAAACTTGACCTTAGTGTAAGTTTGATCCAAAAAATATATATATTTGGATCCAAAGGTGGAAGGAGGGTATTTAACTATTTATGAACCATTTCTCAAAAAATGAGGATATTTTTAGCCCTTTTCCGTTTATTATTTTTGTCTTATCACTAATTACTTTTGTTCTTTCTCATTGATTATTTTTATTTTCTCTTTTATTATTTTTATTCTTTTTTTTCATCTTATCCTTTATTAGAGATACCATTTGGTAATATTTTTATTATTTCTTTTCTTGGTTACTTTATCTTCTTTTTATTATTTTTCTCTCTTTCTGTATTTTTATCTTTTTTTAAAAATGAAATAAATTACTTTTGTTCTTTTCTTATTTATTGTTTTTATTTGTGCTTTCATTATTTTCTCATTTATTATTTTTATTTTATTTTTCATATTATCTTTTATTAGAGATAATATTTGGTAACAATTTTATAATTTCTTTCTTTATGCTTTTTCATATTATTATTTATTAGAGACATCATTTGATAATATTTTTATTACTTATTTCTTTGTTCTTGTTTTTATTTTCTTTGTTCCTTTATTAGAGATACTAGTTGGTAATGTATATTCTTACAATATCATTTATCAAATAAGTGAAATTGTCAGTCTTAATTATACCAATGCTATATATACTAAATCAGTATATATATTGATTTAGTATGAGTTAAGCGAAATTATCACTTGGGTCATCTATTTGTAATTATTTAGGGGGACATCAATGTAAGGGGCATATATTTGTAATTAATTTATATTTATGGGGCATTTTCTTAGTTTCCCCAAAATTTTAAGTTATCATATTAACTATAGGTTTTCTCCGTGACAAATCAATATTTATTTTGAGTTTTGTTATTATAAAAAGCTAACAAACATGTAACGTTCATCTACTAAACTTAATAGTAGTTGAGCTACAAGTTAAGTGTTTTTGGATGAGGTCTACAACTTAGTTATACTGAGATATTGAGAGGTTTAGTTAAGCATACACTTAGATATTGGGTGAGTTTTTATTTTTCGGCACATGTTTTGTAATACTCTCCAAATTAAAATTAATTGTTAAACAACTAAATTTAATAACAAGGAAACATAAAAGATAGCTTGTTATTTAATTCGAAAAAGTTAAAGAACTTAAAAATCAATATTTTCTTATTCTTATCTCTCAATTATATCCTCTCGCTCTTCGTCTTCTATCAAGTAAAGATAAAGAGGAAACTAAGAACATTTGGTTAAGTTTATAAGCTAATCAAATTACTTATAAGCATTTTGCGATTATTACATATTTGATAGTTATTCGAAATGTTTAAAAGGCAAGTGTTAGAAGTTAGTCATTTCCAACTTGGGATTATTTTAGCTTATAAACAATTTTAGTTTCATCAAGGTATTACTTTATTATTTGATTTATTTCTCAAAATACCTTTTCCAAAATAAAATTATAAGTCATAAGTTAGTCACCACTAACTTATGATTTTCAACTAATAAACATTTTTAGTTTGATCGGAATTTTACTACTCCATTTGATTTTTACCTTTTTAAATTTCTCAAAATATCTTTCCCAAAATAAAAGCGTGAACTTCCACTTTACCTCACATGCATTGGTACTCCTTTTCTTTACAAATAAATTTTTCAATTTATATTTTTTTATACGCAATTTAAGAATATTTTAATCATTTTAACAATAACAAAAAAAAGTTTATGTAATACTCTTTTACCAAACACGACACCTATTTAATTTCAAATTCATCACTTACATAACTGCTTAATTATAAAAATAAGTTTTTAGACTTAAAATATTTTCTAACTCATAAAACTTTCAATTATTTACAATCAACTAAAACCAAACGATCGCTAATCAATTTGCAAACTACAAAAGCAATATCATCATTCTTCATCACTTGCTTTAGTTCAGTGTTTGTAATTGTAGATTCCTCCTTCAATTTTCTTTCTTTTCAAGTTTTTTCTTTCTTTTTGAAGCTAGTTTACAAATTTTAAGTCAATATTTTTGGAAGTTAGATTAATTCTTTTGGATGAGGCAATTCTAAATAGTTATAGTCAATTATTGATTATAATCAACATTTTAAAATGAATAAGTTCTACACATTTTTTATTTTTCCTTACTTCATAATTGCTTAACATTTCTATGTAATTTTAGCTATTAAAATATTTATTTCTACTATGTTGATTTATAAAATATTAGAAGTTAAAAACCCACAAGGCTTATGCCTCACCTTGCCTAGACTCACACACACCCTTGCCTTACATGGTTTAAAGTTATAGGCAAATAGTAGAGCAGAAGCCATTAGAAACTCCCATAACCTAATTGGCAATGACCGGAAACAACTCTTCAAAGTTGTATAGAGGACTGATTATGTTTACGATTTCAGAGTGAAAATGAGAGAAAATAGGAAGAATACACATTTTGTAATCAGAAAGTGCAATGATAAAAGACAGCACTTCCTTATACTCTGTGTCAAGAATTGCTCAAGCTTTCATATCCTGACTTTGGCTTTCCTCCATATATCGTTTTACTTGACTTTGATTAATCTCAAATATGAACCTAACTTCTCTCACCTGCGAAAAACAAAACAAGAAACATCTCTGCTAAATATAATTTCACACTGCTCTTAACCTCATTAGAAAATGAAAAGATAATTATTCACCATGCATAATGCCATTTTCTCAAAACATAGCAAACATGTGAATGTATTTATGGAACACAACTACAGTTACAAAATATTACCATTCGCCACTACATTATCAAATCTGTAGCAAATACACCATTTACACACAACATCCGTATAATACAAATTTGGCACCATTTGAATACTAATTACTCATATAATGAATACAAGAAATTTGACAGTCCAATTTGAAACATGAGTATTTTTAGGGAGTGATTTATTCTATTTACCATATCAGAAAAGAGCCCTCCCGTCTTTTACACAATTTAGTCAAGTTGTATTTGTATTTTTGTAGGAAAATCATCGAAAATACAATGGATACACCAGCTAGCAAACCAAAAATGTAGTTGCAGATTGTAAATATTAAAACTATAGGTTGTAGCTAAGGAATCCTAATTAAGGCCTAATGTTAGTTGTTTCTGAAAATTTCCCTACAAAAATTCTACAATCATAAAATGACATGGGCTTTTTTTCTTGCTCTCTTCCCCCACCCTTAAAGGTCTAGCAATGGGCTTTTCATGCTTCCCCGTGCGGTGAATCAAAGTCTCAAACATGGTTAGAGGTGGAAGGTTTTTTCCAATATGCTATCCCTCTAACAACAGGTTTTTATGCAAGCATTGACTGAATATCATAGGCTTTGTTAGGCAATTTCACTGGTATACTTAGGGGTGACAAATGGGTGGATTGGATCGGATTTGAATGAATTGAATATGGTTTGAGTCAAAATGGATTGTCTTATAATCCACCCATATAAAATATGGGTTAATAAGGATTTGATCAAATATGATTTGGACAAAATGATTCTATAACCCACTTAAATCTCCTAAAATCAAATGACATCAAAGCAAAGTTCAATTGTTAATACCCCCCACCTCCTACCCACCCCTAAATTATTTTATTTTTAAAAAATATTTTTTCATAGAAAAAAAAATTTAATGTTCTTTTCTACCCAAAAAAAAAACATATTAAAAAATAAAATAAAAATTCACAATATTTATGTAGCTATTTTCACACTATGTATGTAGCTATTCTCACACACTATAATCTTGTTATAAATAATATTTTGCACTACAATATATGCATTATTTTGAGTTGACAAATAATGTGCAAACCAAATATAAATATGGAGTATCAGAATTTGGAATTGCAGAAATTCATTTTGTATAAACCAGAAATATATAAAAGGCACAATCTTATGAACTATCATCATGTGTATATACACACACATTAGATTCTGATAAGCTAAATTTTCATACTTGCTGTCTTGTCACTCAAGCGGAGTGGTTCATTGCTGAAAAGGTAAGGTCTATACTAACTAATGATTAATCTATTATGGTATGAACTTACAACACTAGTTGCAGTTACAGCCGGACAGGTGCTTTAGCAGATTGTTCAATATCAGATGATAATTTTAGCCTCCAACCACCCCAACCTGCGCGGACTTTCTAATGAAGCTGCCGTACCTTGTCAGATCCTCCAAAAATGTACTCCTTTTGGAGGATCCGACACACACTCATCGACTTTTTTCGGAAAAATTCAACATAAAACATTCATTGATTGGAAAATTCTCTTTTCGAACAAAGTAATTTTCACTAAAAATAGCTAAAGCTCAAACAGCTCCAAATGTCTACCCACAAATTCAATATTACAGAGGCCTGACTCAGTTCTTTGAAACAAGAATAGGATAAGGTTGACAAAACGGTTCTAAATCTATCATCCCGGTTTCAATAAATAACCACTAGATGATAACCTAGGCTTGATATACTTTACTTGATTTAAAAAAAAAAAGAAGGATTACTAGGTTTGATATACTTGATCATAAAAGAATGATTACCTAGGCTTGAGTTTAAGTAACTAAGTCATAACCTTTTAGTCCCAAACTGCAAATGAGTCATAAAATGATAAAAATAACAATTAACTAGGTCATGTGACAAGCTAAGTTAAAGAACAAGCTAATGAGATAGGTAACTCATCAATGATGGAAAGAATACACAATTTACTTGCAAACTGATGCAAGAGGTAGTTGACTTAGAGCCTTCAATTGTCATCAAGATCTCAGGGCTCCGAAGGGAGAAAGGAGGCAACATTTTCAAAAGTACCAAACCAAAATCTGTAAACCTTAACAAGGATATTTGACTAGTTAATCTTGTGTCAAATTAGAAGAATACCTCAATAAAGGAACCAGAAGTGAGGGTTAGACTTTGTTTCGGAAGTACTTCTTTACCATTCACATGAATTGGATATTTTCCAATGTTCTGCAAATGGAATAGTCCATGCATGTCCATCTTTATAGTTGCCTAATCAAGCAATCATGTAAATGTGTCAGTCCATCAACTTATAACTGATCATCACATTTCAAGGAATACAAGGATGCAAATTTTTCTAGGATTTAAAAAAAAAAAGGATAACTGCATTTTGGTCCTACAGTTATTGTTAAATTTTCATTTTCGTTCTTGTAATATTTGACTAAACATATTTAACATTTAATTAACTAAAATGGGTGGTCACTCTACAAAGGAATATGCGGCATTTACACCATCACTAGAACTATATTTCCCTCAAATATGGAGTAACAATGAAATTTAGCATAAAATATTGATCATTAAATGATTTTAACACTTGATAATTCATTAAAGTTTCTGAACATTCATATTTAGAGTCAAAAGTGCACTAATCAATTAATTGAATGTTAAATGCACTTAACCCAAAATTACAAGGACAAAAAATAGAATTTGTTGATATTTGAGGGACTTAAAAGCATTGATATCAAAGGACCCTAACAGCACACTTGAGCCCTATAGCGAGGTGCAAAACATGTTGAGTGCTTCATCTTGCTTTTGTGATCGTGATCTTCAGTGTCGTCATCAAGGCTCCAAAAAGTACATGGTATTACTACTTGCTAACCAAGTCTCACATTCACAAGCAAAATAGTCCCTAATAATACTTATTAAGTTTGGTTTCAAGTAAGGATTTGGTTGTATGACTACAATCTAAAATCATTGTCATTCTATATTGGATACAATCGTACAAGAAAACAGGTGGTGGACATAAAGCTTCTGTGAACTTGAATAGCTTTTTAATATAATACCATTCGAAAATTTAGGATTTTGTGCATTTGGTATTTAAATATTTTATAAACATAATTTTGTATTTAAATTTTAATACTTGGATTTTTGGACTTCGTAGTATCAATATATGATGGTTTAAGCATACTTTGAGTTTGGACTCATGTCGTTATTTTCAGTACTCTACTTAATTTCATTTTTTAATTAATTTTTATTTGGCCCACGACAACAGTAAGACAATATTGCCTACAGTCAATACTCAAGGATACCAATTGAGATTTTGCAAGAATGACCTATTACTAGGTCTCAAATTGGCCCTGAAGTAAACCTCCTGTACAATCTGCTTAACAACACCCTCAGATTCCTTTCCTTCCATATGTAGTTTACAGCTGCAGCCAAGAAAATCCTACACACTTCAGCCCTGCTGCTTCTGCGTTTGCACCGTCCCTCGGCCCATTTTAGTTCCTCATTCCAATCCATACACTCTCTAATGATGGCAAGACATTGTAAGAGTTTGGACCATATGCTAGCTGAATAAGATCAAGAGAAAAACAAGTGGTGAACAATTTCCAGCTCCATGGTACATTGTTGACATTGCTGGTTTACATCCATCTTCCAAAATGCTAATCTGTCAAGTGTATTGTGCTTAGTGGAACCAATCTCAATAGAATATCTATTTGGGAGATTCCTGGTTTCTGCATATGACACTCCTCTAGCTTACTTTCTCAAACTGGCCCTGCAGCTTCTTGTATATAGTTTTAAAGGCTAAGAGAGGTAAGATATAGGATCTCCTCCCATGAATACCCTGCCTCTTCAAAATGCTTCTTGGCCATGAATATTTTCTGGACAACACAGGATGCTTCCTATGGTTCAAGTTGCCATACATCCCTTCCCCTCCCATAAATGGATCCATTTAACCCATAATTTATCCTTCTTCCTGCACATATTCCATAAGAGCTTGCATATAGCAGCTCTATTCCATAGCACAATGTCAATGAGAATAACGCCTCCAGCAGAAGTGGGTTGACAATGACAGTCTTCTCCATGCAACTAGAGCTTTTTGTGAGATCAGCTTTACCAGACCAGAGGAATTACTTGCACATTTGCGCAATGAAAAGAGTGATCTTCTTAGGTAAGAGTAAGATAAGGATCTGTGACCAGTAATTTTGCATAAAATATTATACTCTTAATGAACTGTGTTCTCCTATAATAGGCAAAGAATTCTGTTATCGAAGATGATATTCTCCCAGTTATCTTTTACAACAATGGTGCACACTGAGTAATAGATTATTTCTTTGTACTCAAGAGAACCCTAAGATATCTAAAGAGTAGCTCTTCTCTTGTGAAGCTTATCATGTTTAGTATTTGCTCTTGCACATCCTGTCTCGCCCTTCCAAAATATATTGAGCTCCATGCTTCTTGACCACTGCACTCCATATGTTCTTTGGTTTACTCTTTGCTCCTAGAGGCATCCTAGGTAGGCAGTAGGTATCCCCCTTTACCCCCTAGGATACCAGTCAGTCTGTTGATATCCAGAACTTCAATCACTGGGTAGACAAAACTTTTACCCCAATATATGCGTAATCTAGAAACAACTTCAAACCGGATAAATATGACCCTAGGCTTCAATTGCTCTTTCTCTGCACCACAGAACACTAAGGTGTCATCAGCATAATGCAAATGTGAGATAGTTAAACCCAGAGTGTCACTATTATTCATCCGGAACACCTTGATCCTGTTATTTGACTCTGTTGTTTTCAGCATATCACTCAATCCTCCCATTGATAGTATAAAGAGGAAGGGGGAGAGGGGATCCCCCTGCCATAATCCTCTTTCAGAATGGAAGAAACCAGAGAGGGTACCATTGATTAATACTGAAAATTTAACTGTAGTCGCACAATATTTTAACTAGTTTATCCACCTATTTCCTAAACCCATCCTCTCAAGTATGTTCCACAGAATGTCTCATTTCAGGTGATTATAGGCCTTTTCTATGTCCATCTTGCATAGAATCCCAGGGACTTTAGTTAAGTGCCGAGGCCACCTCAAGGGCTGGTTGTATAGGAGAGAGAACTATCTCAGTATTCGTGTCTGAGAGTAATTTTACCACTCTTCTGTTGAATATCTATCTACACTATTTTATTGTCAGTACTTTTCTTTAGGAATGTGGTAGATATCCTTACGAAGTTTCCAAGTTCTTATTCCAAATTTTTAAGTGTTTAATATTACAACTTTGCCTAATATTTGGGATTTTGAATTGAACTATTCCATTTAGTTTCTACTAGGAGACTTCCAATTTTATTTTATTTTTAGATTGGTAACTGTTTCTATTTCTTTAAATTAGTACTTGGGTTATACTGAAACCATAATTACATAATGAACTCTAAAGGCACTGTCCTATCTCTATAATGAGTCTAAAACATCATTGATAGAGACAGTGTCATTAGAGTAGATCTGATTACACCAAAAACACAAAGTTAGAATACAATTCAATTTTACTTGCTGCATATTACTCTCCCTATTCTCAAAAACTCTAAGATTTCTCTCTTTCCAGACAGTCCACCAAATAGGCAAATAGTAGCAGGAATGATTCTCCAGTTGCTTCTGTTCTTTGCTTGTAATCCTGCTTCTTCCCAACTGTATATGGCCTCTGCAATTCTACCAGGCATGACTCATGAGATGTTTTTGCGCCTTAGGAATAGACTCCACAATTGGCCAGTGACCTTGCACTGGATGAACAAGTGATTGACTATTTCTGCAGTTTCCCCACAAAAAAACATATTGAACACAGTGTAATCCCCCTCTTCATCAAATTCTCCTGTGTCAACACCGCTTCCTTAGCCAGTAAGCACACAAAACAGGCCACTTTTTGTGGGATCTTGGCCTTCCAAATGTGTTTCCAGGGCCCCATTTGGATGCCTGCATAATTGGGTGGTTCAACTTCCTATATGCTGCACTTACTTTAAAAGCTCCATTACTGTTCCCCAACCACTGCAATCTGTCTTTCCCAGTCTCCAAGCCACTAAATTGTTCAATGACGCTGAAGAATTCTGTAACTCTTGGAATTTCCCAATCATTGAGGTGCCTTCTAAATATAATATTCCACCCATGAGGTGTCCATAGTTCAGCTATTGTATTTTGTTGCTGAAGAACCAGAGTATGTATGTCCGGGAAAAGTGTCTCCAGATTTCCTACACGCTTACCGCTCTTTAAAAAAGCTCTGGCTTTATCACAAGTCCATATTCAAGAAGGGCAAACATGGGTAATTCATGCATAGTTTTCTTGTGTCTTCATTAGTAATAATAGTCTTAGCCAACGAAATTGAAAACGATGTAATACATGTTTATACATCCGAAAAATCTGTTGGACCATAATTTGCGCACACAATTTATTTTTGAATATGTTTTACTTGGATATGCATTACTTGAGCCAAGGATCTATCGCAAACACTATCTCTACCTTCACAAGGTACAAGTAAGGTTGCGTACACACCATCCTTCCCAGACCCTACTTGTGGATTTCACTGGGTATGTTGTTTTTGTGGTGGTAGTTTAGTTTCTCATCCGAGCAAGAACTATGGTAATTAAGTCACTTCTATTTAGGAAACAAATTAAATCACTTATGCTTAATTGATTTCTAAGAGTCACAGTGGAAGGATTGATCATTTACTGTAGAATCTAAAGATGAAGCCACGTAAGAGCAGTACAATCATAAAATCACCCGTTTAGAAGAGGATAGTTTTCATTACTTTGTAATTACATAATCGGCCTTATTCAAATTTCTTTTTTTTAATAGTGGTTAAAATGATTGGATTCAAATTCCGGGGTGGTCATTCATAATGGCTAGCAGATCTCTAGGACTCGTCATTTGTAGGACTCTTTTAATTTAGTTTTTTTTCATATTTAGTTTTGTACTTATCAACTTTCTTATCTTTAGGATTGTAGTTATGCAGGTTTTTCTATTACCTAGATTTTTTTGCTATTTGATTTTCAGTCTTGCATGAAAACCACTGGCTATATAAGGGCCAATACAGTAATCAATAAACATCAGTTCATCTGCTACCAGTTCTTTTCTTCTCTTTATGGTAATCAGAGCTCTATTGCTTTACTAAGGTCGATCTTTTCTTTCTCCCAGCTCACCCACCTCAAGCCTAAATTACCCCCAATACGAGTGTAGTCAATGCCAACAACATCTCCAGTACAAAAAAATTGCCCATTTCAATCCGGTTATTCAACTCCCCATCAAACTTGCAAGTAGCCATAACTTTTCGTTGTGGAAGGCTCAGGTGTCCATGCTTATGCGTGGACACAACCTCTTTGGTCATCTTGATGGATCGATCCCAACCCCATCTAGGCATCTATCCATCCATGCTGAAGTTTAAAAACTATCTCTGAAAACAACCTAGCAGTAACTATTTACATCAAGTTCGGTCTCTTTGTGATGAACTTTCCACTGCTGTCTCCCCGTCTACAATAAAGAATTGATTGTCAAGATTCTCACTAGCCTTGGCTCTGAATTTCGAGAAATTTCATCCGCAACCTGCACTTGAGATTTTGCAATCCCCTATGAAGAACTATATGAAAAGCTCCGTGATCATGTCCTTCAGCATAATGAAGTCAAAAAGACACCTTTTATTACATCATTATAAAAAAAAAGGCACCTTTTATTACATTGCTAAAGGGATTACTTCCACTTCTCCGCGTCAGGGCTCCACCAATACTCAAAACACTAATCGATGATCAAATGCGCAGCATCAACAAAATTGTAATTTGTCTTGGCGTAACATTCAGCAACCTCTGCGCAACAATCAACAACAGTCTCCCAACAACAAACTCTACTGCCAACTTTGTGATGGTAGAGGTCATATTGCTCCTGTCTAGCGGACACGCTCCAACAATCATCCTCAAGCGCGTGCTGATTATATTGCACCCCTCCAAAATCAACAGTCAACTCTATGGATCTTTGACAGTGGTGCCACCCACCATATTGCCTTAGACACAGAGTCTGACCACTATGTAAGACTACCATGGCTCCGAGGAGATCGTCATGGGTAATGGTAATACCATTGCAATCTATCATACTGGTAATGTAAACTTTAATGCATATAATCACCAATTCCAGCTTCAACATATCATTTGCTCTCCAGCAATTAAAAATAATCTCATAATTATCTCTAAGTTTTGGCAAGATAATAACTCCTCTGTGGAATTTTTTCCTTTCTCTTATCTTGTGAACTGATTATGGGGGCGCCATTGGCTCACAGATAGAGTAAAAATGGGATGTATGAGTGGCCACCAGGGGATGTTGATGGTTCGCCGAAATCCAATGTCACTGTTTCATACCACCTGTGGCATCAACGATTAGACCACCCTAATCGTCAAGTTCTAAATAAGTTTTTGCATGATTTTTCCATTCCAGTAGTTGGTTCCAAAACTAATATTGTTTGTCATTCATGTTATTGTAATAAAAGCCACAGGATGCCTTTTTCAGAAAGTTCTTTACACAAGCCTATCCATTAAATTTACATTAAAGTGATTTGTGGGGGTTTCTCTAGTTTTACCGATTCACAAAAAACGATACTATGTTTTACTTGTTGATCAATTTCCAATATATATGTGGTTCATACTAAAAGCTAAAATAAAAGTTCTCGAAATGTTTCAAACTTTACATCACATGCTTGAAAGACATTTTAACACAAAATTTTTATCCTTTTACACTGATGGTGGTGGTGAGTTTCAAAAATAAATTCCCATCCAAAAACACATGGAATTGAACACTTAGTGTACCCCCATACACACCACAAAGGGTAGCCTTAGTTGAACGCTGACATCGGCATGTCATCGAGACAACCAGCACCTTATTACACCAAACATCCTTACCTTCAAAGTTTTGGAGTTATGCTTGTCATCAAGCTGTTTTATTTGATCAATAGGATAACTACACCCAATCTACTAAATAAATCGCCTTTCGAAATCCTATTTTAGGTTGTGCCTAATTATAATTCCATCAAAGTTTCCAGATGCCTATGCTACCTGTGGCTCAAACCGTATTTCAGTAATAAATTGGAGCCTCAATCCACACCATGCATTTATTTAGGATTTTCTAATAAATATTACAGGCATTAGCATTTTGATCCTGGTAACTCCAAATTATATTTATACAAGGATGTAATCTTTTTGGAAGACAATTTTCCTTTTCAAAATATTTTTTCCAGGTTTAATAATAAAGTTAATGTTTATTGGGATAATATTTTTGTTGAACCACAATCCAAGGAGGACACTAAATCAATTTCACCTTCCTCATGTCAACTCCCTCCACCAGTAACTACGTTGCCAACGGTCCCTCAACGTCTACAATCTGTCTCCTCCTCCGCTCCAGATAGAAACCTAGTCTTAAACCTAGTCAGTTTCTCACAACCACTACACTGTCTCCAAAATCCCCACAACTCATGAGCAAGCCAAGCTAATTGCCCAATGGAATTTAGCAATGCAAGCTGAATTTGATGCTCTTGTTTGCAACCATACTTGGGATTTGGTTCCATGTGACTCTTCCAAGAACGTGGCGGATTGTAAGTGGTTACTCCAAGTTAAACATAAACCTGATTGTTCTGTTGATAGGTACAAGGCTTGTTTGGTTGCCAAGGGATTTACTCAACGCCCCAGACTTGATTATCATTCCACTTTCAGCCCAGTAGTAAAGCATGCTACTGTCCATCTTGTCCTGACTATCGCCACTCAACTTGACTGGCATGATCATAAGTTGGATGTTAATAATGTCTTCTTGCAGGGTCGTCTTACTGAAGAAGTATACATGCGACAGCCACCTAGATTTGAAAACTATGGGAATCCAACTCATGTATGTCGTCTTCAGAAGGCAATTTATGGTCTCAAAGAGGCACCTTGTGCTTGGTTCACTGAACTCAAAAATTATTTCCTTACTTTGGGTTTTGACAATTCACATTCTGATTCCTCACTTTTCATTATGCATAAATGTGGGTTGACTGTGTATATTTTAGTTGATGTGGATGCTATCTCAGTGGCTGGTAATCACCAGCGAAGTGTTCATAATATCATTGAGGTTCTTTCTCAATGTTTCTCCTTGAAGGACCTAGGGCCTCTTCATTACTTTTTGGTATAGAAGTGATTTATTCTTCTGCTGGTCTTCTGCTCTCTCAAGAGAAGTACACTACGGATCTCCTACATGAGTTAGCGATGGATAACTGAGAAGGTGTTTCCGCACCTATGACATCTGCAATTGTTTTTGATCCCTCGTCTGATGATCATCTAATTGATGGTTCCTTATATCAACACATTATTGGTAACCTTCATTACCTTTCTTTCACTCATCCGGACATAGCTTTTGGTGTCAGTAAGTTGTCACAAGCTATACATCAGCCGTTTATGTCTCACTGGGTTTCTTTTAAATGACTTCTTTGTGATCTCCATTCCACTACCTCCTTTGGTGTACTCATTGCCAAGGAGACTGATCGTAGATTGTTGGCGTACTAAGACTCAGACTGGGCAGGGGATCCTCAAGATCGCCCTTCCACCACTGGTTGTGTTATCTATCTTGGTCGTTCTCCTATTTCATGGTCTTCAAAGAAGCAGCGTTCAGTTTCTCGTTCTTTTACAGAAGCAGAATATCGGGCAGTTGCTGATACTATTTCTTAAACTACCTGGCTCACCCATCTTCTTCGGGAGCTTCAGTTTCCTCTCATTGTTGTTCCTAAAGTTCTCTACGACAATACTAGCACCACTTATATTTGTGCCAATCCTGTTTTGCATAGCCGCATGAAGCATGTGGCCATCGACTTCCATTTTGTGCATGAGCAGGTTGGGCGCAAACAGCTTGAAGTTGCCCATTTACATGCTGTTGATCAAGTTGCAGATCTTCTCACAAAGCCTCTTCAGCATGCTCTTTTCAGTAACCATTTCTCCAAGTTGCGCGTAGTAGACCTCGACGCCAACTTGCGGGGGCATAATAACGGCTAGCAGATCTGTAGGGCTCTTGTCATTTGCAGGACTCTTTTAGTTCAGTTTATTTATATTAATTTTGCACTTATCAGTTTTCTTATCTTTAGGATTGTAGTTACGTAGGTTTTTCTGTTACCTAGATTTTCTCTAAGGTGTTATTTTATTTTCAGCCTTGTATGTAATACACTGGCTATATAAGTACCAATACAGTAATCAATAAACATCGGTTCATCTGCCACCAAATTTTTTCTTCTCTTTAGTCATATAGTATTGTTTTCAGTGTTATCAAAAGCGAAAAGCGCAAAAAAGCTCTAAGGTCCGTGGGGGCTTAAAGCGCAAAGCGCAAATAAAGCGTGGGCTTTAATTGAAAAAGGTGCAAAGGGAGAAAAGAATACAAATATATATGTTTACCCAAGACTAATAATTATAAATATGAATGACAAATATATGACCAAAGAAATTGAAAAAGTACTATGATAAAGTGAAATATCAATTATTTAGTGTCACTTCTTCATAAGAGGCTCATTGGCAAGGAAATGTTTGCCTTAGAACCTTGATGACAACATTGAAGCGCACATAAAGCAAGGCGAAGCGCTCAACACGTTTTGAACCTCGCTTCAGGGCTTAAGCACGCCTTTGATAATACTGATTGTTTCTGGGACTTTTCATTAGAAAACCTTAGGATATTGAAGAAGACTGACTGTTCATATACTTAATTTTAATTTCTGTCTTACAAACTGCAGCACGTACGAAATGACTAGTACGGATAAATGAAAAAGAAAAACTATACTGCAATCAGCATTGAGACATTTTACTTACACATATAAGTTTGTTGAAGAAAAGGTTTCATAACAGAAGATAATGATCAAACCAGGAAATATGGAGCAAATGTTTCAAGAAACATAAAATTAATCACATAATCACAATCATGGTCAATTGTTCGATCAACTATTTCTTTATCTGCCTAGAAAAAATAAATTAAACTAACTCAAAAATATGAGATCAGTTGAATAATTAAAAGGCACTATTGATTTATACAGCTGGAGTTCAAGCAGAACGTACCTGTCGCCTAGAAATTTTATTATCACGACCTTCTCTGCCCAAGTCGATGTCAACTTTTACATCTACAGATTCTCTTCCCAGCAGCACCTGAACCCATAAATCCAAGTTTGAATTTCTGTAGAACCTTTGAATCTTAAAGGAACACAACAGAAACGAATTTGGAACTTAAATAGGATGCTAGACAGTAACAGCTGATTTAACACTTTTGGCAACATCATAAATACTCTAAATCTTTGAGACTCACTAATTCAGTATCTCTAGCTTTCCCTTCAACTTTTGACCTAGCAGTAACAATTGCAACATTAAGGGTAGATCATACTTTGAGTATGGACATCTTGCAACAGAAAATATAGCTCAGCATTTCCTCTCATAGGTTCGGTTTCCATATACTCCAAAGACAAGATGTGACAACCCTATTTAACTCTCTCCAACTGAGTGAGCTAGGAGTGATTACCAAGCAGAGAGAAGATGAAGTCTACTTGGCAAAATGAACATACCTGCATTTAGGAAAATCATTCAGAAGCCACACATTATGTAGCTCTCTAAAGTTTTGTATGATTAGGATAATTTCCCACCATACCTTCACCATTTCAGTCAGGCATTTCGCCCAACCTCTTCTTTCTCCCATTTTGTTGTTTTTAATTTGGGGGGATGAGGGGTCAGGGGAGGGACTTGGGAGGAAAAGTTTATCTAGCAGCTAATCCTAAAAAGGCATTAAGGTCAAACATCTTTAAAAACGGAACTCAAGAAAAACATCAAATGAAGTGAACAATCTACATGCATATCTAGATAAATTTAGCTCTTTCTTTATTCATATAAAACACAAAAAACAATTATGAACAGAGAAATTGAAAAGAACATAAAATTGAGTGTGCATAGCAAGAGTATATCAATCAAGTACGGAGATTCTCAAAATTACATTTCAACTACAAAAGATGCAGTTTATCTTTTGTAATTGAATCGTAATTTTGAGAGTCTCCAAACTTGATTCAAAAACCTACAAAAAATGCAGTTTAAGTTTCTAATTTAATCCAGTGACTAAATTTTTTCTTTTCCTCGTAAGTTAAGTAACTAAGTTTCCTATACTCTATCGTGATTCCTATTCCTAAACACTATAGCATCCATAGAAATTCCCTTCTTCTAAATAGCTGGATGGCTTTTATGGTTATCTCTAGAATTATAGCCCAAAACTCCTCTTCCTATGACTTTCCAGAATCAACATCTTCTTCTATATAATTCTGAGAACTTGTAGTGAAATTTGGATTGGTCCTCCTTCTTGCCTTGAGCTTAAGCTTGAAGCGGTTTGATTCAAATACTTATCAATGTGACAGTTATGTATATTACTTAATCTCGTCCTTTTCATGATAGAGCTCACGAGTCTCACAAATTGACCTAATTTAAGTAAAAGGTGGCGCTTCATTTTTTTGTCAAGGTGTGCATCTAGCCTGGGAAGCGCCTAGCCAGCTTTAAGCCTCAATTCAAAACTTAAGCGAGACTTTGACAACACTACTAGGATTCAAAAAATGGGAATTATCCAGACAAATTATCTATTCTAGTCTACAACATAAAAAAGAGATTTGATTTTTTTCCATAGTAAATAACCTGTCATCTTCAAGTGTATCCAAATAAATAACACAGGGATCCCTATACCATTTGAACTCCAATATGGATAGGAGTAAGCATCACTCGAACCTAGTTTACATCTCTCTCCAGGACATGTACTTGTATGCACATGTATATTTTTAAATGTATACATATACACATAAATACATCCATACATACACATAATATATTATGATTGCTTCGTGGGAGGGCCATGAAGGCAGACACTTCAGCAACTTTAGTACTTAAATAAGGCCTCAGCCTTTCTCCCGGTGGTTCTTCTCCGACCCACTGGCAGACCTTCTTCTATCATGTATGACTTGAACTTGTCTCGACTCTCTTCATTTGACAAATGGGGCTTTGTTTAGATGGTTTGGTGGCTCAGCTTTCAATTGAGAAATAAGGGAAAGGAGGGAAAGCTAATCAAGCTAGTGAAGGGATTGGGATTTGCCTTGCCCTAGTACACCAACCAAAAAGAAAGATTTAGTATTTTAATCTTTCCGCTAAACTAGAAATCCATGGTATTAGCAATACACAGCTTAATACACAATAGAGTGTATAACTAATGCTTGCATTAGTTATACATAGGTTGGAAAAGAGTACCAAACAAGGTACTAGTAATACACAAGGCTAATGCATGCATTATTATTCCTAATACACTCTACCAAACGACCCCTAAATGTAGAACAACATTTTAATGCATGAAGATTCAACATGCTTGACACTGTTTTGTGAGAAATAAAAACACTAGAAATATCATTAAGATGTGTATATACATTATTACATGGAGCCTTATTTATAGTTAGATTCTACCTAACACATAAGAATCGTTATCCATTTGGGACACTATATACGTTAATATTTTAATACTCCCCTCAAGCTGGTGCATATAAGTTATATGTACCGAGCTTGTTGCATATGTAACTAATACGAGGGCTAGTGAGGACTTGGTGAAAATATCAACAAACTGATCATTTGACTTCACAAATTTGTAACAATATCTTCTGAAAGTATCTTTTCACTAATAAAGTGACGGCAATCTCAATGTGCTTAGTCTTCTCATTAAATATCGGATTTGATGCAATATTGCTTGATTATCTATACATAAGTTTCATCCAATTAATTTCTCCAAATTTCCTTTCTCCAAGCAAGTGGTTGATCCAAACTTAGCGCATAGGTTGTTACAACCATGGTGATATTCTGCTTTTGCTCTACATAAATCAACCACATTTTGTTTCTTGCTTTTCCAGAACACCAAATTACCTCCTACTAAAACACCATATTCAAATGTAGACCGTTTATGTATATCCAATTATCTGCTCATAACATCTGATCCTCGAAGAATAGTTTTTTGCCTGGAGCTGACTTTATATATCGTAGAATGCAAACAATTGTATCCTAATGACTAGCATAGGAAGAATATATAAACTAACTTATGACACTCATAATAAAAGATATGTCAGGTCTAGAAATTGAGGCGATTGTAGTGAGTGAATGTCATGTAAAGGTGTGCACTCCAATCTCATGATTATGCCACATGCATGATTGAACCTCATCGGCAAAGGGCATACCCAAATTTGCATAAAATTTTGCACTAAACCCTGTTCAATCCAAACATCTTTTCTCCCAAATTGAAACTTACCTTTATTCATTTACTTTGTTGCATCGAGAATAAGTGATAAAAGTTAAAGAAAGATATCTTTAACGAAGGAAAGTAATGTTGCGACATTATCCGAGAACGTCGGTTTTGATGGTTTGCTGTGAATCGGAAAAAGATCATTCTAATTGTGATCTCAAATTGTTGAGATGAAGAAAGAGAGAACTAAGGATATAATGCTTATGCTCAGTTACGGGAAATGGGTGGAACGTCACTGTTATGGTCCTCTATTATGGATCTAGTTAAGGGATGTTGCAAGATAAAATCTAAAGTTTCTTCCTACGACCTATGGTGCTAGTTCGTTAAGAGAGAACCTACAATCTCTTGAGTTAGAGCAGTGTTATCAAAGGTGCGCGCTTAAGCCTTGAAGCAAGGCTCAAAACATGTTGAGCGCTTCGCCTCGCTTTATGTAGGCTTCAGTGTCGTCATCAAGGTTCTAAGACAAACTTTTCCTTGCCAATGAGCCTCTTATGAAGAAGTGACACTAAGCAATTGATATTTCACTTAATCATATTTTTTTTCAATTTCTTTGGTCATATATTTGTCATTCATGTTTATAATTATTAGTCTTGGACTAAACATATACATTTGTACTTTTTTCTCCCTTTGCGCCTTTTTTCATTAAAGCCCATGTTTTATTTGCGCTTAAAGCCCCCACAGACCTTAGAGTTTTTTGCGCCTTTCGCCTTTGATAACAAAGTTAAAGTACTCAAAAACTGAAATGACTTTTCTGCTTATATTTCCCGAGACAAAAGATAGTTTAGATACAACACTTATAAGATAACTACCCCTAAAACCTAGAACGAACGAAAAACTGCACTATTACAGGAAAATAACTACTACTAAAAAGAAATAACTACTGCTGTAACTATTGGATGACTAAGGAGTGATAACATTACTCTCCCCCTTCAAATCGCGCTTGTCCTCAAGCGCTAAGTGCGGAAAGTATTAGTGTTTCCCTCCTTTCCAGAAAACTCTTCCTCATCGTCTATAAAGTCAATCTAGAATAATTTCTTGCATTGATGACCTCAAGTGAATGGTTTATCACAATTGAAACAAAGTCCCTTAAGTCGCCTTTCCTTCATTTTAGATTTGGTCAGTTTCTTCACAAATTTGGCATGTTGTTAAAGTGAGAAATTTGTTGTCTTGGATTTGCAAGCATCTAACAATTGCGAACAAACGAGTTGTTCCTTGCGTTCATAAAGCAGGGATAAAATCATCGTCATAGCCAAATCTGGAGGATTATGCAACTAAACCTCAATTGCTATATAAGACCGCTGATATAAAGTTCATTTTTTTGCGACTGAGTGTACCAGCCCATGAAATTAGCTGCTCAAACTTTTCTTGGCACTCTACCACAGACCCGAGCAGGCATAACTTAGCCAATTCTCCCAATTTTTGACTTCTGATTGGTGGCCCAAAGCGAAGGTTACATTGACGTTTGATTTCATCCCAAGATGGTTGAGGCATATCTATCTCTAGTTGAAGAAACCAAAGTTGTGCATTGCCTTCTAAATGAAAAGAAGAAAGTTCAACCTTTTCTTCTTCTAGAGTTTGTTGGTGTCAAAGTGTTCACATCTAATCAACCATCCCAAAAGGTCGTCTTGGCCATTAAATCATGGGAAATCCAACTTTGTATGCCGAGGAATGATGAAACTTCCTCTACTTTTGATCCTGACCCTCCTGCTGCTTTATTTTTCCCTTCCAACCGCGATTCTGATTTGTGTCTTCATTTAAATCAGTATTGACCTTAGAATTCCTAAATCCTTTGCGAGTGCATCCAAACAAGCATTTATAACTTAAATTGGTTGCACGTTCTTCTTGGAACAAGTTCACCAATTGTGCTAGTTAATGTTGAATTTGGTCTCCCATAGCTCCCGGCTCTGATACCAAGTTGCTACTATCCCTTGTTATGGATCTAGTTATGGGACGTTGCAAGACAAAATCAGAGTTAATGTTGAGTGAATTAGGAGTCTGGAAAGAGGTTTTCTTTTTTCTACCTATGGTGTTGGTTCGTTAAGAGTGAACCTGTAGTCTCTTGAGTTAAAGTACTCAAAAACTGAAATGACTTTTTTGCTTATATTTCTTGAGACAAAAGATAGTTTAAATACAACACTTATATGATAATTACCCCTAGAAACTAGGACATGACTTCCTAACATTACTAGAATGAAAAACTGCAATATTACAAGAAAATAACTACTACTAAAAAGAAATAACTATTATTGTAACTATTGGATGACTAAGGAGTGATAACAGTCACACAGTACACAAGAAAGTAGGTAAAACTAAACTAGTTTGCTTTTTTTAATGGCTACAATGCTATGTGGGAACTTGGAATAATAAAATGGAATAGCAAAAAAGCATTTTTTGGAATATCAAACCGCCAATAGTAAAAAGTATAATTTTATTTGTTTTGAAATTGATAACTTAATAGTAAAAAGTATAATTTATGTTGTTTGCAGTGACACAGTGAGTAATGTTTGTGGATCATTTATTGTGACAAATTTTATGCCAATAGTAAAAAGTATAATTAGTGTTGTTTGTGGTGACTCAGTGAGTAATGTTTGGGGATCGTTTATTGAGACAATTTTTTATTTGTTCCAATTATTTTTTGTATATTGAATATATTGCCAATTTATAAAAATATGAAAATTCATGGGACTTGTGTCCCACCTCTCGAGGCCTCTACCTCCCCTGTATTACATTAAATGTCTCACCTCACTCTCCAGCCTATTAAAACACATCCATTAAACATATGGATGTGTATGATCAGACAAGTAGGATCAATAGTCAAGCTTTTACTAATAGTCTAACAAGGTATTCTATAATTGAGTCAGAATGAGTTAAGTCTGTCATACCTCTGGTTTTCTAATAAAATGCTTTGAGTGAAAGCCAATTAAAACAGCAAAAGCTCCACGCGCAGCAATCTTTCTCTGTTTACAAGCATGATCAGCCTGCTCTAGCCTGATGATCTTTCTAATAAAATCTTCATGCTGATACTCTTTGGCTGAAAATAAAATAAAGAGACGGACCAAAGAAAAGAAAATGGATGACATACAGTAAGAATGCACCAACAGAGGTTCGAAAATTATTCCAAAGGAAACAACCAAAAAGAGCCAAAAAAGCTGCCAAAGAAAAAGTGGAGGAAGTGAAAGAGTAGAAAGGTAACTACAAACAGAATACACTAAGTGGTGCAGTAGAAACAAAATAATTAAAGACTAGATCAGTTGTTCATCGAAATTCATTAAAGTAATAAAAAATAAATCATTCATTGAATATAATGAAACTGGGACTCACCTCTCTTACTGGAATACATATCCTGTCCATTAGGGCTCAAATCCATATCAAGGATCTGTAGGATGATGGAAGGAACTGGTTAAGGTCAACAAATACCTATGATGGTGTACAAGCTCATATACCAGAAAATAAGATCTCACCACAGCTTCAACATCAGAAAAGTAGGGTATGTCCTCATCGCTCTCATAAAGAAGATCTTCCGAATCTGATGAACTATTGTTTGCACTTGCTTCAGGGATTGTAGTTTTCCTGAGAACAGTTTCAGCAAGTGTAGGTCCATTCTTTTGAAGGATGGTGGTAGTGTCATGTTCCTTTGTGCAAATAGCATTTTTCTCCAAGCACTTGGACGCATCAGCAGCATAAGTCCAACTGAGATTTTTACCCTGTCCATCCTTTGCGGTATTTTCTTTAAAATCTCCTTGACAGGCATTTACTGCACTTAAGTTTCCTGAAATGACTGGCCTTGGACAATCAGGAGTCTGCAGATTCCTTTGCACCACATGTTGACTATTCTCATTGGGCAACTCATGCTTAACTTTGTGATCATGACTGAACATTTCGGCCTGTGATGGTGGTTCATTCATCTGATATGAATTACTGTATTCTGAATAACAATTTTGCTCCTTTTTCTTCAAGACAGCTCGTCCATCATTGCCCTTCTGATTATTTGACAAATCTTTCGCAGACGAGGATAATGGATGATACGTCTCATCATATTTCCAATGTGCCATTGACGGAAATGATGTTGACGGCATTAGAACAGGAAGAAAAACATCATCATTGCTAGGAACATCTGGGTCCTCAGTGCTTAATACGCAGCAAATAACTCCACCACGCATTTCAGGAAAAGCCGGATTGACAGTTAATGCGGAGGATAGCATTTGAAAGTCTGAATTGGAACCTGGAGGCTTATCACTATAATTGTACACACATTTGTCACCGGATTCTTTGGGACAACCATCAAGAATAGTAAGCCCTTCGTCTGGAGCATTTGAAGCCTCTGATACACTTTTGACAGTCAAGTCACCCACACCATCAGGACAATCCAAGAGAAGTGAACTCAAGCCCTCATAATAAGACTTATTAATTGTATCATTTCCATCAGGGTCATTGAATAGCAGTTCGTCCTCTTCTGTAAAGTCCAACAAAGATGCTGACAACCCAGCTATGTAGTCATCAGTACTAGGTACGGAATTTCTCAGTTCATCACATGACATATGGTCTCTCAAGTTGGAGTTTGAACTTACAACGTCGTATTCTGATGCATCCATTTTATTCGAATTGCCATCAATAGGAACTACAAATGTATCCTGTATATTCTGCTCTTCCTCAAAATCAGGCAGAGCCGGAACAGAAATATCTCCAATTGTACTCCAATCTGGCATATCAGGTGCAGTAGGTGAATAACCAAGATCATGAAATGTCAAGTCACAATCTGGAACTGGTGAGTTCAAGACCTGGTTTTCAAATCGAGAAGAGTTTCTCACATTGTCATCACATTGATCTCTCATAGGAAAATTAGATTCTAAATCCTCAGCTTCAAATAATCCACAAACTGGCAATTCACTCAATTCCCCAACAGTGCTTTGTCTCTCAGCAAGGGCAACACTTTCTTCAACAGCATCTGGAAAGTTCTCAGTAACATTAAAGCTGCTAAGTGGAACATCTCCCTTATGATTGAGGAGACCAATTGGAAAACCAGGAGAAGCAGTTACACAATCATTAGCCCAAATGGAATCATCACACCCATGTTCAGAAATGCAATTTTGTATGATGTCGAAATTTGATTGTTGATTACCGAAGGCATCTCTTATCGAATCCATAAATGCACAATCCATTGACTGAGGCTCGTCATTGTCACCAGCTCCGCCAAGAAAGTTCATATCCATCGAGTCAAATGGGTTATTACGGATCCTCTTATGCATAGCATAGTAACTTGAACGGATACTCTCAGTTTTTCTCTTTAACACAACAGAGTTTTTACTTTCCCTTGCATTCTCAAACCTATTACATTTCGGTGTTGATGCAGAGCGGTCCAACTCAATTATGAGTGCTGATGCTTCAGCAGAAACAACCGTATCATACAGGAGAGCATGCCACCGATCTTGCAATTCTTGAACGGTAAATCTTTGGGAAAATTGAACTGCACCTTTTGCAAGTGATTCCAAAGAAGCGCCAGCCTAGAGAAGGATGGAAAGATGATATTATGATGCCAGGGTGAATTAAAAAAAACAGCACAGATAGCTATCTCTTTTTTTTATATCACTATAGTCCTCAATGGAAGTAGATCCACCAACTTAAACTTATTCTGCACTTTGAGGAAAAACATTATTGATACTGTAAAAATAAGAAAAGAAAAATTGATGACACATTTATAACTAAGAAATTGGGTGCTTATTGTAATTAAGCTTATATCTCATCGATTCTCAGTTCCACTTCCATCAATTACCAAAGGTACTTTGAAAAGGATTTTTTCAGCTGATATGTCAAGAAACTCCAAGTATGGTTTTGTTATGTTACACAATTATAAATAAACTAAACAAGGATGCAAGCTCCTTTTATCTTTCTTCTACAATGGGCTTCCTAATGCAATATAAAGAGAACCATCTTCTTTATCTCTTAGTTTATACAAATTGAGAGGCAATCAGAGGTCTGTCCACCAGATGATTCATTCCGCTTGAGATTGGAAACCCTTTCTTCCTTGTCCACTAACATAGTATGTGTCTATTTTCCAACTCACAAAAAGAATGACCAGGTCAAATACTTCATTCCTCTCATATAAGTACCTCCATAGATAGTTCCCTGGAAACCCAGTTCTTCCCTTATACTGTCCTTGATTGAGCAAGACCTACAGGTTCACCAATTACCAAAGTACATAGGATATAACTGTAAGCGGAGCAACAGTTTATCTTGATTTTAGGGCAGTTTTCAATAATTCATTAAGCTAAGATAATAAGCCAGCAGCATATCTTCTTTTATTTCTTTTTCTTTTTTTGGTTCTTGATAAGTAAGGTTCTTAGAGCACTAAGTTAGTGATGGCACTTAAAAAGAGGCCTGTATACCAAAAGGAGGGGGACATCCCTTGATAGGGAAACATATCTAGCATTGCAGTAACACCCAACAGTTTAACAATGGATGAGAAGGATCTTTTATTGCTTTTGAAACGGTGAGAGAATATTGTATAGACAGCTGAAAAACTAGATAGATGAGAATATGGATGACTCGGCTGAGTAATATTAACAACTTTTACATACTTTTGACACTGACATGGTGTTTAGAAATGAAATGTTTGACTTATTAAAGGGGAAAGAAAAGCTTAACAATGTGTCAAAATGGTCCTATAAGCATGCACTAGTTATTTTATATCCTATAGTATTTACAGCAAAGCAAAGGGTCATATGCCAAGTACCAGCTCTATTGATTACTATAATTTACTTTATTTAGACCATAAATGCATTTATTTTTCAGGCATTATCCCAGGACAAAAGTCACTATCTCACTCATGAGCCCAAAGAAAACACAAGAATCATGAAGTACAAGTACTTCAAGGAAAACAAAAAGTTCCAGATATTTGGAACTACAAAGCAAAATCACCACTATAAAACCACCAAGAGAAGCAAAAATAGAAAAAAATGAGCTCTCTTTGAAGATCCAAAAACTAAGTTCTACAATATACCACCTAATATTATATTGTAAAGCACCATTATTTTATTGTTTTAACCGTGTATCCGGGCTGGCTAGTTTGCCTGCACCTCAACTAATCCCACGAGATACTTGCAACCTCCCACCAGCCGCAAGTGTTCACTAAAGCTAGGACATATGTGAAGAAATCAGCTAGTGTTTTTGTCTCTCGTGGATTTGAATATAAACACTCATATTTCTCAACACACTTCATGACCACTAGGCCACACCCTTGGGGGCTTGTAAAGCACCTTTACTTTCCTTATAAATTCGTTAAGAGGAAAAACATAAGGGCCGGTGAGTAAAAAACCCCAGAACAGCTTTTCTAGAATAAACTCCGGAAACAGAGAAATAACCACTAAAACAAGCATTAATCCTAAAACAGATGGGATGGACTACACGAATCATCTGTATCCATTGAGTTGTACTGCACACCTTACATTCCCGGAAAAAAAAGAGCGAAAAACATAAGAACACGCTAATTCTATTACACTTCAATTACAAAACTAATGGGTGTGAATCCTCTATATCGAAAAAATTCATCCCAGGGAGAAAAACACAAGAAGAAAAAATAGCAAACGTGTTAAAATTAAACGGAGCGAAAGGAAAAGATATGTGCATATAAATTCATGGAGTTGCAGACAGAATGGTTTAGTACCTCAATGGCGTTTTTAAGCAAAAGGTCATCTTCAGGAATCCAATGAAAATATGGAGCCAGAGCTCCCATGGCTGCTGCTGCAACTTCGCAAAAATTCGCTTTTCTGTTTCTCTCTTCGGCGCGCCGCTTTTTAATATAAACTCTTCCTTGTATAATACAAAATAGAGGTCTTTTTCTTTTCCTTTTTTTGGTTTTGCCTTCCCTCTCCTCTTTGAGTATGTGTGAGTGTAATTTTCAAATAATTATCAGAATTTTTTACATAATTTTTAAATATATAAAAAATTAAGACAAACAAATTAAAACGCAAGAACCATTAAAAAATTATAGAAATACCCTTAAAAGCTCAAGCAAACATATATAAAGTGTGGAAATACGAGTGATGCAGATATGTTGATCATCACATGTGTGATTATCCACACTTATATATTAAAATAGATATAACCTCTTTAAGTTTTTATCCTAAAATGTCAGCAAATTACACTAGGTGTCACCAAATATAATGGTTTTGATTTTTTGTTCCTCACAAGAAAAATCTTTAAAATATATCATTTTCTTCAAGTAGTTTAAAAGTACATCTTGCCCCCTACACCTCAAGTGTTTTTGGGTGAAAATCATTTTTTCCCTCAACTTTGAACATTAATTAAACTCTCCTCTTTTATCCTACTTATAACTTTTTCTTTAAGTTCATTAATATTATAAGTAGAATAAAATTTTATGAATTTATTACAAAATATAATATTATTTTTATGATCATTATTTTGATATAATGTGCATAAGCATATGTATATGTATGTATGCGTATATTTTTGTCTTTATCCACTCTTTTATTACATGTGTTTCATATTTACTTGGTCCTTCTTGATATGACAGCCCTTGAGAACTTTTAATTAGAGGTATATTTTACTAAACTAACATTGTTAATAATGCTATGAAACTTTAATTTTGAATAGTATAAATTTATGTAGTTATTTAAAACTAAGGGTAGGAATAAAAAATATTTTGATTTCATAAATTGGACAAGTAAATTGAAACAACTAATTTTAGAATGACTGTCAAATAATATAACCGTGGGGATATTCTCTATTGTCAATATAAATAAACAAGTTTTGATTAGCATTAATGGAGTATTACATAAATTATAGTTTGAAATAATTTAATATCAAAATAAATACAATCTTTAAGTTTTGACCTTAATTAATTAAATTAATTATTTTGTATTTCCTACATCAAAATATATTTGTATAGTTATTATTCTTTGTTATTTTCACTCGTATAATTGAATATTGGAGTTTTGATTACTATTAATATAATTATTTTTTCATTATGCTAATTTACATCATTATGGAACAACATTAGTTTATATACTTAATTCGTCTTTCTCTTCTTCTTTTTATCGTCCAAAAGATAATATTTATGCTTTTATGGAAAATTTATTACATGAATAAAAAAATATCATGATTTTTAAAGAAGTTAAAAAAAGTTGATAATGAATTTTTCATTTTTCTCTTTTTTATCATTCTTTTATTTTTTTTCTTTTCTCTTTTCTTTTTTTAAGAAAAAACTTTTTTTAGTTTTCTTTTTTCTTTTTTCTTTTTTCTTTATTCTTTTTTCTTTATTCTTTTTTCTTTTTCTTTTTTCTCAATTCTATTTTTTCGTCTCTTTTTATTTTTCTCTTTTCTTATTTTAATTATTTGTTTATTTTTATTTCTTTATTATTTTTTTCTCTATTTTTATTTTAAAAAATATTCTTTTTTTTTCTCTTTGCCCATGGGGCTTAACTTGTTGTTTGAAAGTTGTTGGGCTAATTAGTCTTACCTCAAAGGCAATAGTTTAAAATATCTCATAAATCAAGACCACTTGCCCATGGAGCGTATCTTATTCTTTGGAAGCCCTTTGGCTAAGTCTTGCCTATAAAACAAGAGTTATGGATCATATGATAAATTAAAACACAAGATGATAGTGTCAAGTCTTTCCCATCGGGTGTGACTTATTCTTTGGAAGACTTGGGGCAAAGTCTTGCTTCTAAGCAAGAGTAATAGAGCATGTGATAAATCAAGACACAATATGATAGTGTCAAGTCTCGCCCATGGAGCGTACCTTGTTGTTTTGAAGTTCCTGGCTAAGTCATGCCTCTAAGGCAAGCGTTATAAAGCATCTCACAAGTTATATATTGCCCATGAGGCATATATATATATATATATATATATATATATATATATATATATTAAACCATTGAATTACATTTTGCTTCCAAGGCAAAAATTATTGTGTTCCCAATAAGTTTGACTTGGTGAAAATGGTGTAAATTATTGCCCATGAGGCATATGTTATTTTTCTAAACCCTTGAGCTATGTTTTGCCTCTAAGGAAAAAGTTATCGCGTTCCCCCAATGTTAGGCTTGATAAAAATAATGCAAAATATTGTCCATGAGGTGCAACTTGTTCTTCGAAGTCCTTCGACTAAGTCTTGCCTCTAAGGCAAGAGTTATAGAGCATCTAATAAGTGGTAGTGTCAAGTATTTCCCATGAGGGTTAAATTGTTATTAAGAAGTCCTTGAGCTAACAAGTCTTACCTCTCGATGCAACACCTCGCAAAATTTTAAGCCAAAGTATTGAACCATTCATCGTAAGTGTATCAGCTTGGATTGGGTGATGTATTACTTGCTTATATATGTGCTAAGGTTCATTCCCAAGTTTAGGAAGTGTATCAGATGTAGTTTAGGTTCTTGTGGGACCTCTAACACTAAGTCAGTTCAAAAAATTTCTACCGACTAAGTTTTTGCAAGAGTTCATGCTAGGGTCAACTTCAAATGACCATATCTCTCAGCATATAAAGAATTATGTGGTCCATGACCTATTAAATTAAAGATCTATAAGTCTTCTTTCCAACTCCATCAAGATTGCATCAATTCGAGTTCGAAGTAAAATGTTATGACTATTTTACGAGAGACACTCCCAGTGAAATTTCAGACCCTAAGTTTTACAAGTCCAATATACGGCTCATGAATTATCTACAGGCCGTAGATTGAACTCATAAAATGAAGTCCTGAAACTTGATTTTCCAATTTTTTTTCATGAATCCAACCACGGGTCAAATCAATCTATGTATCGTAAATAGGGCTCGTAGAATGAATTTCTGAGGCTTAAAATATCATCCTTGAATTCCCCGATGAGATCTACGACCTGTAGATCAAACCACGGTCCATATATGGCTCTCGTGGACTGTTCTCTTTTTCAAATTTTGGTCTCGATTAGTTCACTTTTTTAACTCCTAAACCACAACATTTTGGCCTATCCCATGTAGAGTAAAAAGGGAATTATTTGATTTAACCTCCCCATTCATAGCCAACACACAGATAATCAAATTCAGTACGTTTTAAGTTTTCTCAGTAAAAAAGCTAGCTAGGGTCCTTCGTATTCAAGCTTCAATTAAATGATTCAAGCTAGGGTTTTCCATTCCAAATATGTAAGATATCATCAACTGGTATCATTTCACCCATTGAGTCCCAAAGAAAACCTTGTTCTTCAGTTAATTAAAATCTATAGAATGTATGGTTCCAATTAAAAGCATGTATTACACCATATTTCAGTTTCTCTTTATGAATAGTCCATGAATACATTATTTTATATGAAATTTAGTATTCTTATAAATATTTTCATTAAACCTCAGAGTACATATATTTCATGTCTCTGAATTCTTTTGTTTTAAATTGCATGTTTCCTTGAAAATATAGAAAAGGTCATGATTAACTTATACTTAGTTTGTCAATTCCTCATATTTAGAGATGCTTTCAAATAAAGTTTTTATCCGTTGTTAACAGATTTTAAGTAACTATTTGTTATTCAGTATCATCAATATTATCATATTGTCAACATAAATTCAATTGGGAGTATTACTTAGCACCGAGCAAACGTAAGGATAAAGGCTCACTCATCAATATAGGATGAGACTTTTAGTAGCAATTCCTATGTCCTAGAACTACGTGTCACCTTAGGTAATAAAGGTCACATGTTAGTGTAGGTTTGACACCTTAATCCTTTTTGAAATTGTCTTAGTCGATTCGTGCCATCAATGTTCTTACCCTTGGCAAGGTACAGAGCGCCCTCCCAGTTGGAGTATAGGTTGGACTCCATTTAGCTCAATGGAGTATGTCGGTTATTAATATCTCCAGAATTTTAGCTTTATAATATTACATTGACCTAGTACTCAATTATATTAGTTCAATATTCATCAATTGTATGTTAAATTACTTGGTCATTTGCACCAGCTCATGTATTTTAGTTTCATATTCAGTTCAACATCTCATATTTGTCTTGCTAGTTATGGGAATTATGTTCAAAGTACTGATCACATACTTCTTGTGCTATATTGTTTTATAGTATAGGTTCAGACGTTCAGTATTTATCTCTTGGTCAGTATAGTTTTGTATCAGCTCAACGATAGTATTTGGTGAGTCCTCATCTTTCGAGGACAACACCTATATTTATTTCAGTCATTTAGTTCTTTCATTTTTCAGATAGTAAGAGTTAGTTGGGGGCTTATCCCTGCAACTCACCTTATTAGAGGCTTTCAGATAGATAGTCAAACGATAGTATCGACTTTATATTTTGTTCATATAAACTCACTCTTTTGAGTATTAAGTTTTATATTTTAGACTGCTCACTTACTTGCATATTAGTTATATTGTTTATATAAACCTTAAGGCATGTTTGGTCATGCAATATGAAATCATGAGATAGAGTTGAAGTTTTGTTTGGACATGCAATTTGAAGTTCTGTGTTGTATATTTTCTCATAAATATAAGAATCTCATAAGTTGTAAAACTATTAAAATAGTCTCAATTATTTATCCAGCTTACCAAATGAATAAAAATTTATAAAATCGCATAATAAATTATTACAAAGTCATTGTGGTTAGTCTTGTTCACTCAATGTAGATGAATATTTTTTTATTGAACACTAAAGTAGTAGTAATAAATTTGATTTATAAATAAATTTGATAAAAAAAATAATGAATTTGATGAATATAAATGATAAAGTAGGAATTGATTTAAAGTAATAATAAATTTTTTGTTGATGAGAAAAATAAAATTTAAATATTAA